GCGGAGCTAGCGACTAGCTAATGGCATGCTCATATCGTTATTTGTGATGTATTAGGTGTACTTTGCTTCCGCCGTTTTTTTTCCGAAATTCGAGGCTTTATTATAAAAAACTGGTTATACATTTATGATTCAAAGTATTGTCCATCGCTGGCCACTACTTTCTCCCATCTTTCGGGCAGCGTACGAATCCCGCGTCGAAAAAACTGGTCATCTTTTGAGGCGATCCACGAATCGATCCAATTTTTTACTTCTTCATAAGACCGGAAGTGTTGGTCAGCCAGGCCGTGTGCCATTGATCGAAACAAGTGATAGTCAGAGGGAGCAACGTCTGGAGAATACGGCGGGTGGGGTAGGGTCCCATTTCAACGTTTCCAAGTATGTCTTGACCACTTTCGTAACATGGGGTCGAGCATTGTCACGCTGCAAAATCACTTTATCGTGTCTCTCGTTGTATTGCGGCCGTTTGTCTTTCAATGCTCGGCTCAAACGCATCAATTGCGTTCGATACCGATCGCCTGTGATTGTTTCAGTCGGTTTTAACAGCTCATAATACACTACGCCGAGCTGGTCCCACCAAATACAGAGCATGACCTTGGAGCCGTGAATATTCGGTTTGGCCGTCGACGTGGAAGCATGGCCGGGAACTCTCCATGATTTTTTGCGCTTGGGGTTATCGTAATGAACCCATTTTTCGTCCCCAGTCACAATGCGATGCAGAAATCCCTTTCGTCTTTGCCTTTCAAGCAGCTGTTCACAAGCAAACAAACGCCGTTCAACATCTCTCGGCTTCAATTCGTACGGCACCCAATTTCCTTGCTTCTGAATCATTCCCATGGCTTTGAGGCGTTTTGAAATGGCTTGTTGAGTCACTTCCAGTGATCGTGCCAATTCTTCTTGATTTTGACACGAGTCTTGATCAAGTAATGCCTCCAATTCTGCATCTTCGAAAACCTTCTCTCTTCCACCGCTATGCCGGTCTTTGACGTCAAAATCACCGTTCTTGAAGCGTTGAAACCACTCACGACACGTTCTTTCACTAATAGCGGCCTCATCATAAGTATTTGAGAGCATTCGATGAGCCTCAGCCGCAGATTTCTTCATATTGAAGCAGAAAATTAAAACCTCCCGCAAATGACGAGAATTTGGCTCGTAAACTGACATTTTCAATCGAGAAATAACTTTATGATGCAGACACAAATCGACTAATGTTTCTATGGGGTTATGTTGACAGATGCCCAAGTTTATTGTATGACGTCTATGATCTATTTATTTCAACCATCACTTATGGCTAAAGCCATTTGTAGGAAAACGACGGAAGCAAAATTGTGCACCTAATAACATAAATCACTTTTTTACTGCAAAAAAGCTACTTTTGAATTTTTTGAGAGTAAATAATAACGAAAAGAGTAAGTTTTGGTTGATAAGAGTTGCGAGTACATTAAGTGATCAAGAACTATCTGTTAAACCCACAAAAATCTCAATAGAAAAATCAGTAAAAAAAGACTTCTGTTGTTCACAATTGTCAATCGTTCATTAAAAAGTACTTGCTGAAAAACGAGGTTGTAAAAAAATTGCATTTTCACAAAATTGTTTGACTTGGACTATTTTGAGCTTCATGTGCGAGTTCAATAGACTCAGAAATATAAAAATAACCCGATTTTATACATTTCTCTCGCCGGCTTTTACATTATTCGTTCTTGAAGTGAAGTCTCACACGACACGAGTGAGAAGCGGCAGTATCGCTCCACTAGGAGCGATGAAAATACTGCTACTCGAAAACGCAAGAGTGAATGTTTCACTCAAGCTTAGAATCGATTCTGATTCCACGTAAGCGAATGTTACAATCGATTAGAGCGGACATATTCCTCCGACGATGGAATATATCAGATTCGCTCTTCGATTTCGAGTGAAAATATTCACTCGACGATTCAGAGTGGCGGATTTACTCTATGAGTGAAAGGTCACTCGAATTCGAGTGACTCGGTGGTCATTCTCGAGTGAACTCTCACATCAAGAAACTTACGCTGAGTAACATCATCTCACACAAATCATATAACTGATTGGGTTACTCAACCTGATCAGCACCACAGGACGAATTTCTAGTCGGGAAAGGACCTCGCGGGTCTCTGTCGCGGACGTTTCATAATAGCTCCGTGTGTATGTATAGCGAGCGCGATAAATATTCACACACGCGTTACGCTGAAACGCATCCAACGCGTCCAACTTACGTAACATAATAATCCATATTTCTCCTGACGCGTACGTTACACGATTCGCTCCAGAGGATCTGTTATGCCGACATCGCGACGACGACAGAGTCGCGCGGAGAGAGTTCCGGACGAGCGGGAGCAGCGCGTGTCAGCGTCATCCTCTCTCGGAAAATCGGCGAGGCGCCATTGTAAGGAGATCCTCGTCAAAACGGCGGTTGATTTCCGGGAAGATTAATAATCTTCGAACGCGCGGCGCGAGAGACTGCAACGCCCGTCCGCGGCAATTCTCTCTCTTTCTTTCTCTCTCCCTCCCTTCCTCTCTCGCGCGCGTCTGAGGGAAATTCCCGAACTTTATTATAAAACTAATATTTTCCAAGTTCTATGAGGTATTACGATAGTTTTCTGAAAGGGCCTGCCAGCCGAGCGGCAAGGCGAAATGGTTCGCGGGGCGAAACTTCAATATTCGGCGACCATAACGACACCGACTGATATATTATTTCCTACAACTTCTACTCTCGGGGTTTTGTCTGCTTGCGGCCGGAAGAAAGGGAAGAAAGTGCGCGGGGGCGGCGCGGCGGCAGTGATGGTGATGGCGTGGCGGCGGTGAAGACGTGGGAGGGGAGGAAAAAAAGGAAGAAAATGGAAACTTGATTAAGAATTCCATCCGCTCGTAGTCTCGCGCGAGCGTACTCCTTCCAGAGCCGCGATGTTCGTCGTTGCGTAGTGAGATGAACGAGCGGCGATGCGAAGATTTAATAATAAAATTGCAGCCGCGGCTGCGCGAAGCGCGCCTTTCGCGAAAGATTTTTTAATGAAAAGTCGGACAGACGAATGTGAACGGGCGAAAAGACGGGCGGACGGACGAAATCTCGCGTGACTACGGTCCATCACTTAAATTAACCCGCGCGGAGCGAGAAGCGAAACTCGAAGTACTCGCCGACCGCGCATCGCGCAAATTAACCCTTTCGCTAAGGGCAGCTCGAAGCGCGGTCGGAGTCGCTTCTTCAACTGGTAGCGCTCCGCGCTCGTTCCTTGATACGTCGATAACGATAACGTCCGTTACAAAGTAGTTTAGCGCTGTGTCGCAACGGCGTATTTTATTTATCGTTAACCGGCTCTGCAGAGTCGAGTATCAGCGAAATTCGCGAGAGAGTGTCTTGCGAATAATGTCTCCTGATCTCCGGATGAAGATTGATTTCAGTTTCTCTGGCAACTCAGCAGGACCGCGCTCTTAAAGACGCGAGAGAATCAAATGTTTCGGAACGGGAGCACCGATATCCTCAGACCGATACAAAATGTCGAACGTTGCGATATTTCATAGCCGTACAGAACAGAAGTCAATTCGTTCCTTCCGTTTTTTGCTCTTGATACGCTCTTTACATCTTCACACGCCTCGTTTCGGCTGCAACAGTATTCGCGACTGGTCATTCGGGGCGACATCGAACTCCCCTTTAACTGGAAGTGAGGGAGAGGATTCGTGGGAGAACGGAAGAGGGAGAAGTCGGAAACGGTGGGAAAAGTGGGAGTCGGTCGCGAGGTCGAAGTACCTCTACTGGGAGGCAAGGACAGAGATAACGAGACTCAGCGAGAGAGGGAAAGAGAGAGAAGGACGTAGTGGAGAACAAAGGGTGCTTATCGACACCGCGGTTCTTATCCTCCGGTAATTCCTTTTATTTTATCCGTTTCTTCTTCTCGGAGCGCGCGTGAGAGGGAGAGAGAGAGAGAGAGAGCCCTTCGAACGACGACGGTGGCCCGGTTATCCGTAAGATAATCAGACCGAGATCTACTCGAGCGTGGACCGCTATTTCCGGGGCGTAGCTCGAGGGGGCGATTTTTTCCCCCCTATTAGAAATGTTCCTCCGTCGGGTGAGGGCGACATTAATTCACTTCGGCGTAGCAATTTGCTAAACTTCGCGAGAAAGCGACAGTGGCGTGTCGCGGAAATCAACGGTGAAGTTTGACGTCACCGGCTCGGCAACTACTAAACGACATTGCGAGAGAGGCGGACTCTTCCGCTCTTCTTCTTTCCCAGCCGTCGGTTAAGTCGATCAAATTAATTTTTCTCTAGACTCTCGTTCGCGACATTTCCGTGCGCGAGCACGCAAACCAGTGTCGCCCGCGGAAGATTTATAAATGCGGCACGACGTCTTCCCCGCGCTCGGAGAAAAAACATATGATGGAAACCATATAGATGACAACTGTACGAGTTTCGTATGTAGTTATTGCGACTGCAGCTTCAGATGCAACAACTACAACAGAATAGTTTATTACTCTTCCGAGTGGCAACGTATTTGCTACCTCGGAGTGGCAACTGAATGGTTATTAATGTTTTCCTCAATTTTTCTCCCTTTGGGACGCTCGGAAAAATCCTCAAAAACCATTAAAACTTCCTTCAGTCTTCTAGTCGAAAACCATATGATTCTCCTGTGAGAGATAAATCGCTAAGCATTTCATTTTTTATGATTTTTGAAGAAAAATGCTCCGAGAAACGAACCCTTCTTGCAATGGCTCGGACACAAATGACTCTGGTCGCCATTCTGGATGAGTTAAACTGCATACATTGAAACTCTACACACGAAACTCGTACGGTTGTCACTTATATAGCTGCCATCGCAATGTCTTTCTGTCTGAAAGCGCGCCCTTGTGTCTTTGGTTTCCCGAAGGAAGCCGTTTTCCTTGTCATGGCACCACGACGGCGCAATGCATCCGGACGAGTGCGAATTCACGGATCGCAGAACTCGCTGGCTCCAGCGAGGGGCTTTTTTGCGAGTCAATATTTAACGAACTTACCGGGTGTAGATGACGTACTGTGAAATTGGAGTGTTGTGGGAATTAACACCAGGTGCCCACGATATATTCACGGCTTTGGACGTGTAGCTTATGACGAGCGGTCGTTCCGGCGGGTCTGGCACATCTGAAAGCAGATTTGATCATTGCGCAATGAATTGCGTGCCAGGCGCAATTTGCAAATTGTAAAAGGAAAGAAAAAATCGCTCGAAACGGTCGATAATTCCGGCGCGTTCACGCTTCGCACCGTAAATCCGCCCCGACTAAACGAACATCGTCTCTCCCTTCTACCCCCGTATATGGGGGGAGGCAACGGCGGCGCTCTCTTTCGCTACTTAGGAAGGAAATTATTTACGAAGTAGTTACAGCAGCTGTATGTACGGGTGCGACGCGTCCTGAGGCACGACGCTACTAACTCGCTTTAGTTTCTTAAGCTAAAATTTATTTTGTCCAAAGTTGGAGTCACGTAGTTGATATTTCTTACGGATATTTACATCGACGCGGAATGCGAGCGAGCGCTCTCTCTCTCTTCTGGTGCACGGATTCTTATGACACGCCATACATACTTTGCAAGCAATCCTCTCGTCGCACAATAGAGACACTCGAAACTGCGTTTCGTTGATCGTGTCGACGTACGTATAGCGCGATTGCTGCACCGTCGATACTCGGCATGTTAATGTATTTGCTCTCTCTCTCTTTCTCCCTCTGTGTGTATGTACGTGTGTGTGTATGTGTGTGTGAGCGAAAATACGAAATGAGTTAGATACTGTTATGTTGAATATTCGACGTTAAATGTGAATTACGGTGAAATTGATACTGATATTATCGTGAAGCTAAGACTTGTAGACGAGAAGTTACGTTATCGAGATATTTAATACATCGACTGTCGGAGCGCGCTGTTTTCAATGCGGATAAATGTAAGCCAACCGTGAGCATGTAAGGCAGCAATTTGATGTGGTTGCGTAAACCATCTCGTCGTATAACAAACACACGCCTCTTTCATACGCGATGCACGAAATGCCATGTAATCACGAAAGTGTGCTCACCTGATCGGCTTTCGTTCGGTTTGACGGTTTGGTAATTAAGCTCCGGATCCAACTTTCATTACAGGAAAGTCGACCGCAAAATAGTTTTGCATTTGGAAATAAACCGAATTTTCATTACGGTGCAACTCGCTTAATGCAAAGAGAAAGAAAGAGAGAAAGAGAGAAAGCCGCGAATTAATTAGGAAAATTAAATCACAGGCTACACAGTTTTACTTTTTCTGTTGTTTCCTCTATACTTTTTCACTTGTTTACAACACCCGACACGATGTCACGGCAATCGAACGTTAAAAAAACGCTCCAAATGCTCTGTAATGTCGTGCCAAATGAATAAAAAATGCGAATTAATCGGGCGGGATAAAAGCCGCGCGATGAAAAATTCAAGTCGCGCATTTACGAATTCAACGTACAATTTTGTGCGTTTGTCTTTTCCCTTCAATTGTTAAACGCGCTTTGCCGCGCCCCGAGTGAACGGGTGAGTGACTCGGCAAATATAGTTGAGGGTGTGTTTTCGCGAAACTTACTTCGAAGTCCCGCTCGCGGGGAAAACACCGATCACGCTCTCTGCGGCGGCAGTGGCAGCAGTGGCGACGGTGGCGGCGGCGGCCGCCGCCCCCGCATCGGATAAGACTCGGGCGTTTAATATGCACCGGCGCGCGGCGCGGCGAAATATAACATTGCGCGCACGTTGCACAAGATCATAAATGAGAGCAGGGACCTCTAACCTCTCAGGATAGAGTCGTCATCCTTTTCTGACCTCTCTGCGCGCCGCCGCATCTTGCCCTCGCGACGGCTGCTGCTGCTGCTGCGTTTCCGCGACTGTGTGTATGTTAGGGAGAATTCGCAGTTTGGCGGAAAAGCAGAAAACAGAAAGGCAGAAGCCAATGAGAACTCGCGCTCGGTGGTCAGATAGTCGCGCTGCTGCTGGTCTGGTAGTCGACAGTTTTTGCCTTTCTACCGCGAGCAATTTCTGATTGGCTTCTGCCTTTCTGTTCTCCGCTTTTCCGCCATGGCGTGAATTCTCCCCTAGAGTCCCTAGAAATAAGAATAATGGGGTCTATGTTGCTTCATTTTTTAGTGGTTTGATATGGAATGACGAGATCAATCAGTGATGCCTGAGCACGCGAATAATTGAAAAGTAAAAAGTGGAAAACAAACAACATATTTTTATTTGAAAACAAACAGAAAATATAACAATATACATTATTTAATTTTGTTAAAATGATTTTAAAAGTGCATTGTATGCAAATAAACAGTATTAAATTAAATTAAATTTTTTTTATGATGATGGAGTTGAAGTTATGACAGATTACATCTCGTTGTTATCATCTCCATGATTTACATTTTCGTGATTTTCTTTGTTAACAAAATTTCAACGAAATGTAATAATTAAAGATATATTTACCTGTTTAATAACAATTCAAGAATTTTTTAATGACGATTAAAATGTCACTGAGAGAGAATAATCCGACATTCTATATATAAGTCTGCTCTTTATCGAAGAACCAATATATTTAAACTAATATACATCATTTATTCGCTTCTTTTCCCTTTAATGCTAGGTTAGAGTAAAAATGCCAATCCTTAGACAATAAAACCGATATCTAACTATGGACATTCTTATTATTTTGAATTTTAATCCATTATTTTTGGAAAAATGGAATCCGGTAGATTTCTTCCTTCTTCTTTATTGTATTTTTATAATTTCTCAAACCTTATAATTTTTTATGATTCTGTGGAATATTGAGATTTAACAATAGCTAACAGAAAAAAGTTCATAAAATATTACAAATATTTAAAGAGGACCAAATAGAATTAGAGTAGTTAGAATAGAAATAGCGTAGAGTTTTTTCAGATCCCACTTTTACGACGACGGATTAAGTACGAATATTTAAACTTTCAATATTATATATATTCAGAGTGTGTATATATAAATATATTCTCTATATTTTTATTATGGTATAAATATTCTTATTTATTAGTTATTATCGTATAAATATTTTTATTTAAAAGCCAAAATAATAGGAATTAGGTATTAGTGTTATTAGTACTGTTATTAGTATTGTTAATAGTGTTATTAGTACTGTTATCAGGTACTAGTGCAGATATTGGCATTTTTACCTTAATAAAAAATTAAACTACTACAGCCAGTTCAGCAACAGAGAATAAACTGCACGTATGCAGATACGTCACACGGCAGCCAGTACGGCATTTTGTATCAAACTAGCAACATCGGCCAGACTTCTAGGGACTTCAGTTTGTGCCGGCCGTTACCGCGTGCCGTGACGTTCGCGCGCGTGCGAGCAAAAAAATTTCGAATACGGAAACTCGCTCTTTCCGCACGTCTTTCGATTTGCGTCGCCGGCTTCCGAGCGATAAAGTATCGGACATACCTGGCCGGGACGAGATAGAAGCAGAGGAAAAGAGTTGCGAAACACATTTTAATTTGTCAACTGTTTCGGTCGCGTGTTCGCTTACACGCGGTTTTTGCGCGATTAAATGCGATACTAAAAATACGCGTTTGTCCGCGCGATTGATATCCGCGCATATATGGCTCGGCGATAGGTTGGAGAATAAAAAAAAAACGTTATATAGCGAGCATTTTAATTCACCGTTTATTTTGCTGTTGCTGCGTCGGAAAAAGAGGGAGAAATACCCGTATGATTTTTATGCGATTGAACATGTATTTAGCGTCGGACGACTGGCATCCGCACAATATCGCTTGGTGATAGGCTGCGAAAAAAAAAAAACACACAAATGTCACGACGATGTATTTTACGATTCGTTCATCCCACTCGCTTTTTACTGACAAGTCCACTGACAAGTCACACGGCATTTGGGATTAAACGCGACCTATCGGCCGACGACGGTCGCGTCTCGGCGATGTCGAATTAATTTCGACTATCGTGCGACTCTATCACGCGCGTTGCACTCTCTTTTAACGCGATGAAATGTTAGGTTAGGTTATCTCGCGCGCGGGCGCAAGTCGCATTAACGCGTAAGAAGTGCAATAAACATCAGCGAGCCGTAAAAGCCGCTCGCGATGAGCACGGTTGGGCATTATTTACGTTTATTGTTTTTCTTTATGAAAAGTTACGCTAGTGGGCGCTATATGCCAAGACTCGGTTTTTCGTACACATCTTTGGTGTTGTATCACCTATTATCTATTTCTATATCTATTTATCCTATATCTATTTCTCCGATTACCATCGCGTTTCTAATTCCCGCTCAATGAGTACTACGATCGTCGGACCTTTGTTATTGTTCCACTACTTTAGTAAACAATGATAACGAGGAAAAAACCGATCAGCTTGCAAAAAGCTAAAATATATACAGAGAAAAATATCATTCTGCTGACAAGCAAATGATTGCTCGAATTATTCTCCTTCCTTGAAGCAATTGTTATGTTCAAGGAATATTTTCTTGATAACAATCTTAAAATATACTTGTTTCAAATTTCAGAAAAGCTCATCCCATCATATATTCGAATGAAGAACTTAATCTCTTTACAAGAATATATCATAAATTTTCGAAGAAAACAAGTCGTTTCGAGTCCATGTAGTGAGCAAATCAAATTTTTATTTTAATATAATATTCTCGATTGAAATGCTGAACTTACTAAGATTCAGAATGTATTTTGAGTAAATTTTATATGCTCATGATGAATGTATAATATATCTTCAAATATCCAAGCTCATGAAATATTTGAACAACTAACATTTACTTGAACGCAATACGCATTTTTCTGTGTGTTTAGTTGTCATAACTAAGATGTGTCATTGAGACAGGGGAAGTAATGTTGCTATTGAAGTTAGATTTATTAGTTATTTATGAACTTCGGTACAATAGCGAAACAATATTCGCCGATAGATTGAACGTTTACGGTGCTATCATTTTGCTTTTCTTGTAAATTGAACTTTGCTGCCAAAAACGTCAAACTCACGCTTCGCATTACAAAACTAAATTAAGGTTTCTCCATCGATCTTTGACCTAGAATGATGTCCACTTTAACGCAAACACAAAATGTCTTTCCCGCTTACACGATTGCGATATTTGATCCTCACTCCGTGAAAGGGTGATTTTA